TTATTCAACAGGGTTTTTTCAGGATTACCAGAAAAAAAATCTCCTGCCAGGCAATTTCTGTAGCAGCTGTCATGGGCAGCCGGTTCCTGCCCACTCTATTGCATCAGGTTCTAGGGGCTTGAACTCTGTCCTCCTCTGTCCTAAGAAATAGCTAACATCCATATGGCAGCATGTCAGCCCCGCAACTGATCACCTGCTGAAAAACTACTGGATTCTAAGTTCACGTGTAATCCATATTGGATTAAATCTGGATGCATCTGTGCATATTATTATATTATTATCTGTGCAGATATTTATTATATCTTACATTGTTAAGATATAATGTGAATTATATTGTTATTCGATCTATATTTTGCAACAATATTACAATACTGACCTACATCAATAAGCTAATACTATGTTATGACCACAAAAACACTTTTACCATAGTGCATTATTTGTAAAATAATACAAGATGTTGTTTACATCACATCACCAGCTTCATATGTATGTCTTTTCTGATGTAGTAAACTTGTTTGGTAGCTCACCTGGCCTGATAAAAGTCATGATAAAAGAGCTCAAATACTTGTAGAAGCAGGCTAAAATGGCATGGTTGCTTCAGCAAATGTGTTTTTTATCTCACGTTTGCTTTTGTTAACACTATCGATTAGGATAGGTGGTACCTTTTTTAAAAAAAATAATAGAGCACCAATCGCCAGACATTTAATTTCCATACTGCTATGATATGTACAACAAACAACGTAATAAAACATTGCCAGATTCTTGTTCATCTGTTTTGGATAAAACTGAACATGCATTTAGAGCCATTCACTAAGGCCCGGATTGGCTAATCGGGAGCACCGCGAGGATTCCCGGTGGGCCGGTCTGTTTTTTTGGCCATGAGGGCCGCGGTGTTGTCGTGCCACTGGGGTTGAAATATGGATGCTGCCCACTGATCTATAATAGATGTTATATATAGATCAGTGATACTGTCCCTAGACTGCCTCCACTCTTTTAATTAATAATTTTCTCGCAGCCCATATTATTATTTTCACCAGACCATATACATTTGAGAAAGGCTTTAAGACCAAGCGGAATCCTCTACCGGCTCCCGCTTCACAGTGAGCGGGTCTCGCGCTGATGGCAATTCCCTTTCAGTCAGTCACGTTCAACGTTACGTCAGTCATGACTAACGAATTGGGATCTCGCCTGAGAGATCACCTTCAAGTGTAAACTAAACAAGCCAATGACAGTTGGCGTGCGTGTTTCACCACGTGCACCCCGCCCCGCAGCGCGGGTATAAAAGGAGAGCGCGTGCAAATGCACATCAGCTTTTCGCTTCAGAGGCGAGCCTTCTACAAGACGAATCTCCGCGAGTGTTTGGAAACAGCTGGCGTTGGTATTACGGCGTATCAGCGGGGGTTGCCATCCAGGCTTCTGAAACCTCGGCGAGCTGCAGCTGCCATTCTGCGGTCTCGCCGCGACCTCCCCTGGGGGCTTCAGTACTCTCTCTATACAAGTGTTTTTTCT